CCTGCCTCAGGGGAGCGGGGCTTTGCTCCATCCAGTTCAACATTTCTTACACAAAAGACCAGGCACGGCCCCAAGAAGGGGACAAGAGACAGGAGAGCTCATTCTATGCTGATTTGATCGTTGCCTTTTCACAGCTCCAAGCAGGGGAGCTTTTTGTTGGAGGTATAAAAGGAACCCTCATAGGAAACCTGCTACAAAACAGGAGCTTTTTTGTTGAGTTCCAGGGCCAGAGAAGCAGATGGCGGAAACAGAAGAACGGCCTGCCTCAGGGAAGCGTGCTTGCTCCATCCATGTTCAACATCTACACAAATGACCAGCCACTGCCAGAAGGGACAGAGAGCTTCATCTATGCTGATGATCATGCCATCACCACCCAAGCAGGGAGCTTTGAGATGGTTGAACAGAAGCTCTCCGAAGCTTTAGGTGCCCTTATGGCCTATTACAGGGAATACCAGCTGATTCCTAAGCCATCTAAAACACAGACGTGTGCTTCACACCTTAAGAACAGACAAGCATCTTGAGCTCTGAGAGGATTCCTTTCCCCCCCCCCATTACTGCTCAAGCAGGGAGCTTTGAGATGGTAGAACAGAAGCTCTCCAAAGCTCTAGGTGCCCTTACTGCCTATTACAGGGAAAACCAGCTGATCCCTAATCCATCTAAAACACAGACATGTGCTTTTCACCTTAAGAACAGACAAGCATCCCGAGCTCTGAGGATCACCTGGGAAGGAATCCCACGGGAGCATTGCAGCGCACCCAAATCCCTGGGAGTCACTCTGGACCGTGCTCTTACCTACAAGAAGCACTGCCTGAACATCAAGCAAAAGTGGGTGCTAGAAACAATATCATACGAAAGCTGACTGGCACAACCTGGGGATCACAACCAGACACAGTGAAGACATCTGCCCTTGCGCTGTGCTACTCTGCTGCTGAGTATGCATGCCCAGTGTGGAACACATCTCACCACACTAAAACAGTGGATGTGGCTCTTAATGAGACATGCCGCATTATCACGGGGTGTCTGCGTCCTACACCACTGGAGAAATTACACTGTCTAGCCGGTATTGCACCACCTGACATCCGCCGGGAAGTAGCAGCCAATAGTGAAAGGACCAAGGCAGAGACATCTCCAGCTCATCCCTTGTTTGGGTATCAGCCAGCACGTCAATGACTTAAATCAAGAAATAGTTTTCTAAGATCTACAGAGACACTCGCTGGAACACCCCAGCAAGCGAGAGTCCAAAAGTGGCAGGCTCAAACCCAGAGCCTCAATCAATGGCTGATACCAAATCAGAGACTCAGACATCAGCAAGCATTTAATTTAATAATACAGTAAAATAATACAGTCAAAAAATAATACAGAAAATTTTATTAACCTTATACTTAATAACACCCAGAATTATCAATACAGCTGATTTGAGTAAATTATTTCATTTAATTAGTACAGTGTAAACTATAACAAATGATTATTAATATTCCAATTAATAATAATTAATAATAATACATGAATCCTAAGATAGGAAGAGATCTGCAGCCAAATCTTAACTTGGGAGAAACAGGAAAACCTCTTTCCACACTCACATGTCGTGGACTTCACTTTGTAGCTCCATTTCTTGAGGTTGGGTCTGCATCTCGTGGTGCCAGAGCTCAGTCTGTTCAGCGCCTTCCAAGTCGCCCAGTCTTCTGTGTGCCCAGGGGGGAGTCTCTCATTTGGTATCAGCCATTGGTTGAGACTCTGAGTTTGAGCCTGCCACTTTTGGACTCTCGCTTGCTGAGGTGTTCCAGAAAAGGAAGCTATGCTGCCGCACCCTGTATATACACCCCACTTGCCTCACTCCCACAGACCTCTGAATAAACCTCTGAGGATGCCTGCCATAGATGCAGGCAAAACGTCAGGAGGGAATGCTACTGGAATATTCCCACAAGGAAGTCAAAATGACTCTCTCCTTTGCATATCGTGTCTTCAATTGTTCCTTAGCTAGACTCAGCAATTCAGGACTAGATTCCTTTCATGCAAATCTCCAAGGAGGAACTTTTACTCAGACGACTTTAATTTTAAATATTTTTTATTACATCATGAATAATATAGAGAACTGTGCCGCCTTAGGCGTATGGTGGGAACATCCCAATGAAATTTTAAACCAGTCCGTGACTCTTCCCATCTTTTTAGAAGCATGTGAAGATCATCTTTACTCCTCTCGCCATGGTTTGGGCGTGATCCGGCCCACAGGAGACAGATTCCACTCGATCCCGGTTTGCGTTACAACCTGAAATGCAATGGATGGGAAATGCTAAGAAGTCAATGTAATTAATGGGATTTTGGGCTGCATCGAAAGGAGTCTAGTGTCTAGATCAGGGGTCCTCAAACTAAGGCCCAGGGGCCGGACATGGCCCTCCAAGGTCATTTACCCGGCCCTCATTCAGGGTCAACATAAATCTGAAATGACTTGAAAGCGCACAACAACAACAACAATCCTATCTCATCAGCCAAATGCAGGCCCACACTTCCTACTGAAATACTAATACGTGGCAGAAATTAGTCAATGAATTTTGTAATGGATCTAGAAGATCTAGGCTACCGAGAGGCCTATGGTATATTTCTCAGAAATTAGGAGGATTAGGAATACCAGAACTAAAAACCTACTATCAGACACATATAATAAAGGGAGTGTTTAGGCTGCTCTCGGAACCTAAATTAATCTGGCAGGAAGTGGAAGGAAAATGCTGACACAGGGATTATAGGGAAATATTTTTAGGTCAAAAATAAGCAAAGAAATTAAGGGGTGTAAAAATAACCTGGCTAAAGATGTCATGGAGATACGTGAAGGGACATTATCATTATTAGTATCCCTTATATAGGGGAGACACCATTGTGTCCTAGGTGCAGAGGTGCAGGAATGGCAATAGACCACTAGGGGGGACTGGCAAGCCATACCTCCGAAGGGAACGTTGCAGATTCCAGTCCTCTGACACTTATGTTTCACACCTTTCTGGCAAGGGGATGCAGGGGGCATCATGACCTGGGACTGATAGTAGGTTGTAGGCTACCTCACCTTAAGATGAGCTCACCTCTAGCCAATCACTCTGCCAATGATGTAATCCAACTCACTGTTACTATGCAAGCTTTGCAAAGAGCACAAGAAAAGATATATAAGCAGCTTGGCTGATCAATAAACTTTGAGATCACCTTCACCCTCCTGGACTGCATATCTTCTTTATCGTCTCCACAGATACGGGCTAAATTAAAAAATAAGATATTTCAAGGAGTTTCCCCCCTAACTCCAATAGTTTTACTGGAAAAATTTTCAAGAAGACCTGAGAATTAAAGTTAAATATAAAAAATGAGTGGAAGGGGAAACTGCTTTTTCCTGGAAGGAATGGATACAAAACTCAATGGGCAAGTTTAATAAGTTAGAAGAACAAGGTGCCCTGAATTGGTTTGAGAGACAACAGCTGTGTAATTGGAGAAAGGACTGATTGAGTAAAAATCCCAGATGTAGAGCACTGAATAAATATGAGGAATGGTTAAGTAAGCTTAAAAACCAAGAAATAATGGGGAAATGATTAATTGGGAATATATATAATGGATTAATTGGCAAAGAAATAGGGCTGAAGCTGTTAGAAAATGTATGGGAAGGAGACCTAGGGCCTCTGACAGATTTCGATTGGAAAAGGGTCCTGAAGTGGAGAGTGGCCAAGAACCTATCAATAAGATTAAAAGAAAATGTATACAAAGTTATATGGAGATGGTATACCACGTCAGTCAAACAACATCAGATGGATAGCAAGCAAAGTAACCTCTGCTGGAGATGTGGCAAACACAAAGGGACATATTTTCATCTATGGTGGGAATGCCCCCAAGTGAAGAATTTTTGGAAGGATATATTTACCGAAATAAACAACATTATAGGATCAAATATTACGCCGGATGCCAGGTTAGCATTATTAATGGACACCACGAAGCTGAATATAGAAACAAGTAAGAAAGAATGGGTGACTATTTTGCTCACAGTGGGAAGAATTATAATAGCAAAGAATTGGAAAATAATAACTAATCTAACACTGGACGAATGGTATAGGGAGGTATGGAATGTAGCCTTACATGATAAATTAACAATGGAAATGAGGGTATTTAGGGGGGAAATTAACAGGTCAGATTTTGAGGCATACTGGTCGGTCTTTATTAAATATGGCTTAGAGAGCGAAAATGGAAAACAACAGAATTTGGTTGATCAGGAATTTTGGAGATGATATTTGATTAATGGTTGATTTATAAATACATGGTGAAGGAAATGATACTTGTTCAGGCCTTGGTGGTGGGGTTATGTGTTTGTAAAATGTTCACTGTTTTGTGTTTTCTCTATTCTGTAAGTTGTTATTATTTTGGTCAGAGTGATCTTAATGCAACTGACACTCAGCCAGCTGAGCCACAATTTTATTTTGATGTAACATGTTGTCCGGGCTTGGCCCCATGTAAGCCGCTCCGAGTCCCCATTGGGGAGATGGTGACGGGGTATAAATAAAAAATATTATTATTATTATTATTATTATTATTATTATTATTATACCGGGATTGTGGCGCAGCTGGCTGAGTGTCAGCTGCATTAAGATCACTCTGACCGAAAGGTCATGAGTTCAAAGCCAGCCCGGGTTGGAGTGGGTTTCCAACCAATTGTGTAGCCTGTTGTCGACCTTTGCAACCCGAAAGACAGTTGCATCTGTCAAGTAGGAAAATTAGGTACCACCTTAAAGTATGGGGAGGCTAAATTAGAAGACTCCAGCAACGCATTCCAGCGGGGAAGCATGCGGGGAATGCGGAAGTGCTTCATCAGTGTCACAGATGGACGATGAAAGCGACAGCTCCCCTGGCGGCCAGAAAAAGTTAAATAGCCTCTGTGTATGTCTGTATATGTTGTATGTTAAAATTGGCATTGAATATTTGCCATATATGTGTACACTGTAATCCGCCCTGAGTCCCCTGCGGAGTGAGAAGGGCCGAATATAAAAGCTGTAAATAAATAAATAAATAAATAAGATGCGGCTTGTTGTTTATGTTCTGGTTTTATTCTGCTGTAACATGTTGTACTTAGTCCTAATCTTTTTTATACTGGTTTTAATCCACTTCATTGGATGCGTTGCAATAGCAGATTCCCAGATTAGTTTAGTGTTTACACCTTATTTTATTTTTTCTGGTTACTTAATATTTAATGTTTATTTTACTTAAGTGATATTTGTCTTGACTGTTCTAATGTAGGACAAATCCTATGTAAAATCATACTATGTAGTTTTGACATTAATATTGAAATCTGGAATATATACAGAAAGTCTTTACTTGGCCCCATGTAAGCTGCTTCTTGGCACAATGGGGTTGGACTGGATGGCCCAATAGGTCTCTTCAAACTCTTTGATTCTATGATTCTATGCAGAGAAGCAGGAAGGGGAAGAGAGTGAGCCGCTCGGGCTGGTTAAGAAGCACAGGACACACACACACACACACACAGGTTCTCTCTCCTCAGGAGAGATAGAGAGTGACTTTGCAGAGAAGCAGGCGGAGGGGGGGGGATAGCTATCAATCCAGCAGAGACAGCGAGTGCGAGGGAAGAGAGGAAAAAACACAGGAACACACATACGTGCACTCTATCTCTCATTCCTCTCTGAAGCCCTGCCCCTGCCAGGCTCAACATCACTCAACACCCCCAGCATAATTTATGCCAGTATCCTGTCCCTTCTCCAAAAAAAAAGGGAGGGGGGAAAGGAGGAGGGAGTTCTAGCGTTCTCTATCCACTCCCCACTCCATATCGCGAAGGCTGATCTGGCCGGAGTGGTCCATGCCTTGGTCACCTCTAGATTGGACTACTGTAATGCGCTCTACGTGGGGCTGCCCTTGAAAACGGCTCGGAAATTCCAACTGGTCCAACGGGCTGCAGCCAGGATGGTAACTGGGGCCCCTTACAGAGAGAGGTCAACCCTCCTGTTCAAGGAGCTCCACTGGCTGCCGTTTATTTCCGAGCCCAATTTAAGGTGCAGGTGCTTACCTACAAAGCCCTAAACGGTTTGGGACCACCCTACTCGTGACCGTATCTCCATCTATGAACCCACACGTTCACTTCGCTCATCTGGAGAGGCCCTGCTCGTGATTCCACCTGCGTCGCAGGCGCGTTTGGTGGGGACGCGAGACAGGGCCTTTTCTGTGGTGGCCCCCCGACTCTGGAACACCCTCCCAAAAGACCTTAGACAGGCCCCTACATTGGCAGCCTTCAGAAAGAACTTGAAGACTTGGCTGTTCCGTTGTGCCTTTCCAGAGTAGGAATCCCCAACAACAAGTCCCAGAAGCACTTTATTAGATTTAAGATTGTTGCACACCGCATATTGCACTACCCTATAATTCCCACCTATCCCTGTCACATCAGCACTTTTAATTTTGTACCCATCACTTCGGCCCGGCCCAGTTTTAATAGTGTCCTGATGTAGTGTCTATTATCTGTTGTTTGGTATTGCTTACTGTTTTTAATTTGCTTAGTGTTGTATTGTTGTATTGTGTTTGAGGCCTTGGCCGTTGTAAGCCGCATCGAGTCCTACGGGAGATGCTAGCGGGGTATAAATAAAGTTGTTAATAGTAATAATAATAATAATAATAAGTTTGTCCAGGCTTTGAGGCTTTATGGATTCCGTAAAGCAGCAAAGAGAATGGAGAAAATTCTCTGCTGACACCTAAAGGCCCATAGCTGCAACAGCAACTCAGGAAAACTTTATTATTATTTTGACCCAAAGCAGGACGTGATGAGCACGTGGTTGGCTGGCTGTGGCGGAGGGGAGGCTCTATGGCGCTGAGAAGTTGCCTCAAAGCCCAGGAAAGGAGGCTTCGGGGCCTGAAGGGGCTGGCAAAGAGGGGTCGTCTAGTAAGGCGAATATATCCAAAAATTGAATTTTTTAATTGAAAAGTTGGGGGGTCGTCTAATGCGCCCAGTGGCCTACTATCCCGAAATATACGGTAATCCTATTTATTATTATTTCCATGGCCGTATCGTCACTGATAAAGAACAAGAGCCAAACACAAGGTCGAAACACTTACGTAGCTCCAAATCGAGACGCAGAAGGCTGCTCCTCCAATTAGAATCAGGTTGCCGTATTTGTCATGAAAATCAGGCTCATGCTTATGGTGAGCTTGCCTCACTGCTGTACGCTGGATGTTACGAGCTAAAACACATCACACAAATGAGATTACAAATGTGATTTTATCAAGACAGGGCAGCATACTCTGACAGTGAGTGAAGACAGAGGGGAGCAGAAGGCAGTTCCATCTTGTCTTTACTAATAATATAATATAGTATATTGTATATACATATCTATATAAATAAAAATGTAATGTTCGTTTGTGGTATTCACAGAACTCTAAAACCCCTGGATGAATAGACACCAAATTTGGACTCGATACACCTAACAACCCAATGTATGTCCTTCACTCATAAAAACACTGAAAAACACAGCAGCAGGGACTTAAAAAGCCCCAAAAAGCTACATGAGGAAAAGCTAAGTGACAATACAGAAAAAAGGGAAGAAAGAGGGAGGGAAGGGGAGAAAAAGAAAGAAAGAAAGAAAGAAAGAAAGAAAGAAAGAAAGAAAG